ATCTGGCATGTTGCGCGGATTGCCTTGATCGTGCTAAACTATTTCTTCACGACTTTGGTTACCTTCATCACATGCCCGCGTGACCAACGCGGACAAGCCAACTTAGTGGAAGAAGGCTGAAAGCATGGCTGGGCACGTAGACGGAACGCGCAATCGGCACATGCAGGGATGTTGAGCGTCCTTTCGTACACATGAGATTTTTCCTGCAGGCTTGTTAGTGACTTGTATTGACACAAAGCGTTATCAAGCAGAGCGTGTTTGTGAGTCCCTTCAGTGATCTTGGTGATAAAATAGTAATCATAGAAATCATATACTATCTATTGCATGTTGTAATCATTGGGAGTGGGGGCGGTGAGGTTAAAGAATAAGAACTGACCTGTATATCATAGCCATGTGCAGTGACGGCACTGCAGTCGCATGTCGACATGGGTTTGCAATGAGCAGGCTCACAGCGACGTTGCATGTCAACTATCTGTTGACTGGGTATCTAAGCGTCTGTTTTGGTCAGCGTTTGTCGCGAACTCTGTGCGGTGGTGAAGCTGAATGGGTAAAGCAAGCTCAGAATATGTAAGAAATTGAATGTCATGACTTCGACGCCGTTAAGAGACCCCGGCGAGGGTCTCCGACGCCGAGCTCAATCGCAAATTATGTCATCCTAGGATGGGGGAGGAGTGTAGAGGTGAGAGACATACCAGTGGAGCTATGGGTGTTGGGTCGTAGCTATGGGTCTTTGGAGTAGTTTAGCTCGGCGCATGTCGCGTCCGTCGTGTCTGCACCTGCAGAGCGCATAGTGCGAGGTGAAGTGATCGTGATAGCCACGTCGACGACTGCATAAAGTCGCGACGGCTGTCGAGTTGAGTGTGGTGCTTCTGCGGTGCCTGCGGTGCTGGAGGAGATGATGGAAGTCGCGCGGTCGCAGAAAACTTTAAGGACGGCGCTAGCGCCAAGGCGCCTTTCGCTTGTGCACGGCCCCGGGCTCACACTGAATTTCGAACCTCCACCGACCGACATTACTTACTCCCGACAAGAACATCAACACCGACTCCTATTTCCGACCGGTACGCTTTCGACGCAGCAATACTCCACGTGTCTCTCCGTCTAACATTCTCCTGCAGCACATATCGACGAAATGGGTGACGCCGAAATTACAACGAGTGCCTGGAGGCTGGTAGAGGTCGGCCGCGTGGTCCTCTTCAACGAGGGTGCATTCGAGGGCCGCCTCGCTGTCATCGTCGAGATCATCGACCACAAGCGTGTATGGGAAATTCGCGATCCGGGTGCTGTTCAGCGGCTCACACAGACATAGGTCCTCCTCCAAGGTCCCTCCGAGAAGGCCCCTGTCCCTCGCCAGGAAGTCGCGCTTGCGAAACTCTCCCTTACACCCATCGTCATCCCCAAGCTTCCCCGTGCCTCGGGTAACGGTCACGTCGCGAAGAAGTGGGAGGAGCACAAGGTCCAGCAAAAGTTCGACGAGAGCTCATGGGCCCAGAAGCGTGCGGCTATCCAGAAGAGGCGGGGACTCAATGACTTTGAGCGCTTCAAGGTCATGAAGATGAGGAAGCAGGTACGTTTTGCCTTGCACCTGTGTCGTCGAATGCGACCGCTCGGACTGGACGCGGTGCACCAGATGCGAATTGGGAACACGGACTAACAGCAACACAGGCTCGTTTCGAGGTTCAGAAGACCTTCGCCAAGATCCGCGCCAGCGCAAAGGCATAGGTAGTCTCGATGCTGTCGGGAGACAGGCGTTGTGGTGATCGCTGCATGCAGGTGGCATAGAGGCATGACGTGCATTTCATGAGCATTCCGAAGGCGACCTCAAAGGCATTCAAAAATTCAAGGCCTGGTTAAGGGCGAATAAGTCCAATGTTTGGCACGGTGCAATTCGGTTTGGGAACGGTTTACTCGGCTCTCGCATGCATTCCACATGTAGCAAGAGAGTTCAATCCACAAATTCATGAACACACACGAACAGTGCAACTAGAATTGCAATTTGATACCCCCTTTGAAATGCCCGTCCTTGTGAATTGCGCGACATAGGCTGTGAGAGTAATTGTTGCTTGTGATGGGCGTCATTGCCAATTGCGAGAGCTGCCCGCGCTAAACCGCCCACAAATCATTTTTGGAAGCTCCGACCCCAACTCCGCGACGCTCGATATTGCAGCACCACCACCACCTGCCGTCACCCACAAACCGACAAAATGGCCAACCCCCGCATTGAAGAGCTCCCCGACGAGCCCGAGAAGAAGAACGTCCAGATCGAGGAGGATGAGTCCAGCGACGAGTCTGAGAACGAGGAGGGCGAGGTCAACGTGCCCGCGGGCTCTTCCGTCGCCGTCCACTCCCGCAACGAGAAGAAGGCTCGCAAGGCCATTGCCAAGCTCGGCCTGAAGCACATCGACGGCATCACACGCGTCACCCTCCGCCGACCGAAGAATGTGAGTGCTTTCCGCGCAATTGGTGGGGGAGCTGCAGTCAACAAACACGAGATGCGGGCAGACCATAGACACAGTGCAGGGTATTAGGCTAACACACCTACCAGGTTCTGTTTGTTATCAACCAGCCGGACGTCTACAAGTCGCCCTCAAGCAACACCTGGATGTGAGTCGCTGCCCCTCAATAGCACAAGCCGCCTGCTGACCCCGCACCAGCATCTTCGGTGAGGCCAAGATCGAGGACTTGAACGCCCAGGCCCAGGCCTCCGCCGCCCAGCAGCTCGCTCAGGGCGAGTCCGCGCCCCACGACCACGCCGGTCATGACCACGGCGACGACTCCGGCAAGGGCAAGGCCAAGGCTGTCGAGGACAAGAAGGACGAGGAGGAAGAGGAGGACGACGATGAGGAGATCGACGACTCTGGTCTTGAGGCCAAGGACATCGAGCTCGTCATGCAGCAGGCCAGCGTCTCGCGGAAGAAGGCCGTCAAGGCCCTCAAGGAGAACGACAACGACATCGTAAACTCCATCATGGCGCTGAGCATATAGACCACTCGGGTCTAGGTGTCTGGGTGTAAAAGGTGGATGACGACTTCAAACGCACTGAGGAGTCGAGAGACTTCTGCCTGCTCATGTAAAAGAATCTATCAACATGAATCTTTACGAATCATCGGTGGCCGTCCGGTCCATTCGAAAGCATTGGTGCCCAATGATTGCTACCTTGTCGACATGCGTCAGTGATCAGAAGCTAACCAGTCTAGAAACCTTCCAGTCGCAAGATAGAATGGAAACTCTAAGCAATGGCAGAACGGGGGCTGGCACAACGCAGCTGAAATATTCATGGGGCCAGACGAGCGACTGCATCTACCACTTGGCAGTTTGACCTTCTTCCATTGGAGCATATGGTTTCCCAACTCTGAGTCTTGTGGTAGCTGCAAAGCAGCCCTGCGGAATGAGGTGAGATGCAACAAGCATACCTTCTAGCGGTCGATCATCAGAAGTTTAACATGGCGGCTTCCAGTCATGCACACTCAGACACTAGTTCATGTGTCTTGAGGCTCTTTCTGACGTAGAGCTGCTGACAAGCCGCTATAGCCTCAAGGGCCAATATGCGTGTGCTGAGTGATGACTACCAACGGCTTCGATCAATCGCGATAGATTTGTCCAGATTGATATGCCTTTTCCAGAATCGCGGGTCCCGAGACTGAGGGTCAACGTCGTGCTTATGCGCGTGGCTGGTGAGATGGGGATCGTGACGTCCAAGGACATTTCCAAACGTGGAACGCGGAATGCTAAACGCGCAGTTGCTCAGCAGCGGCTTTGTCAGGTACCCCTCGGAATGAAAGCTATCCGAGAGCAGTGTTGTTAGCAATCGTGAATTGCGTGAGGATTGCGAGGTAATAGCGGTGAAGTTTGCGAGGGTGCGATGCTCAGCCACAAGCTAACCAGCCACAGCGGACAAATCCGGATCTCATGAACTCTTCCATCGTCAGCACAGATATGGGGAATCAGCCTCAGCCTCACGACACATTCTGGTTAGCTTCTTTCTCATTGTGTCGAGATACCCAGATATACAACGGAAAGTCGACTTTCCGAACATGTTTCGCACTCCCCGTTAGGATTGCGCCTACCTACCCACTCCACACATCGACAACATCGAGCTCAGCTACCATGCTGCGCGTTAGTTCTCAGCATGGCACTTACCTGATCCACGATATTCTCCGCAATATGCAACGGCGATGATGGTGTTGAAGACGCTGCTAGGATTTAAGCGATCCACTGTTGCTTACACAGTTGAAACATGATGAATACACGACCAATGAGCGATCAATCCAAACTTTCGGCATCAAGAATGTGGCTGGTATTATCACGGTATCTTTACAAAGGCTCTTGGACTCAGATCGACCGGGCCGCGAGAGCCATGACCAAGTCACATAGCCCTTGTTCATGACCTATAATCTGACCACAGCACTTGTGTTTGATGTGTCGCAGACCCATTGCTGCAAGCAGACTGGCCTATCAAGAAGACGATGCTAACACTATCGGACCTACATCGAACGCACGGAGGCCTAAAGGGACGAGGGTTATCTCATAGTTCCTCAAAGGATTCATAATCTTACTTGATGCTTCCGCATTCGACAATTCACAGCTGCCTTCTTCACCCTTGGCACTGTTGTTTGGGAAGCCTACAACTTCTTATGACGATATGGCGTCGAGAGCTGAACTCATCCCCATGAAGCCTTCTTGCATGTGGCCCTCCTTGGATGCCTCACCACACATACATTGGCTATGAGATAACTGTAGCTGAGAGGGCCAATCCTACGACAACATCAGCAATGAAAAGTTCTATATAACACTTTGACTGTCTTCAACAAACGATAGACTCATCACAGCAAGTTGTACTTCCCATACATCCTCCTACATCAACTTCGGTACCCCATATTCAGTTAAGCTCGGGCTCGAATTGCTATTACATGTCCATCGATCCTACATCTTCTACCAATCCCATTCACAGCGAGTACTATAACCCACCACCACGTAGATACCGGGTTCCACAGTTGGCCAGCATGTCTTCCAGCCGAAAGATCACCTCCGTACGTCTCAATCCGCTATATAACCGTCAACACCGATTTCCCGGATACTAAACTCCAATAGGCTGAGAAGGCACAATACATCCAAGCGCTTCGATCTCACCAGTTCAACACCATCGTTGAACTCGTCCGTGTCGAGCAGGCTTTTGCAAAGCTCGGTACACCGGACTGCAGTGAGCCGATGACGGCGGCTTGTAAGTATCGACAGTACTGGTATATGTAGATTGAAAACTGATTGTGGGTATCAGGGAAGTACTACGTCGAGTCGCATGGCCTGTTGACCGAACTTCGTGGATTGACTAGGAACTATCCTTTCAGGTAAACTGCCCATCATGACCCCCCGAAGGGTACACGGTGCCTCCCAAAGCATGTGCTAACCCATCTGTAGTTCTGACTGCCTAGACGAAGCAAAGCGACGTGTCTACGCCGACCCTGCAAGCAACCGCTCATGGAACTTGTGTTGGTTGGTTCTGAACAAGATACAAACTGAGTACGTCTACCAAAACATACACTACATTGCGATTTCGTTTGCTGATCTCAAGACAGTCAGCTACTGCCGTACTATGCGCGTTACCAGGCGTCTCAGCCAGCTATGTGGGCGGGTCAGACCCCTTCTGCTGATCAGATCACGCAGCTCACGAATGCTTTCGTTAATGAATGGAATTGGGCACTTGGTCAGATGTTGGGGCGTTGGACACAGCCGCCGGCGCGATGAGAGCGTGCGGATGTTAAGGGTTTGGTGTGTTGGTGATGGCGTTGATCGCTATCGAGGTCGCGTGTAGGTCCTTGTATTGCTTGCTTCTCTTTCCTATCCGGTGGCAATCTCTTTACACTCGTTTGACTCCTGGCGGTATAGACCTCTTCATATCATTTTTATTTTACATATTCTGCTTAGACCTCTGTCGAACATGAAGGCCTCTAGCCTACATCCCAGAAACTTAGGTCGTCCTCATTGACCTAGCCTTACTTCGCTCTGTCTCAATAACGCTACCATCTGTCGCATCCAAAATAATAGTCCCTTGCCTTAATTTCCTGGGTATTTTCCGCACTCACAGCATGAGCGAGCGCAGTGTTCAAGTATGCCCCAAAGTCTGCCGTTATCCCAGAATGCGTAACATCATCTGTTCCCGTGATATCTAGGGAAGGTGTGTTCGACATCCATTGGACCGTTTCGCCGTTCGTCACTCCGATAGCAAAGAATGAGACTTTGACAGGGAGCCACACCGCTCCTTCCTCGAGCATTATAGATTACAATCCTAGCGTTCAAGCCTTCACGTACTATCCAGGCCGCAAGATCCGCCTACGAGAGCGGGGTATGTGTATTTCGTGCCACGGTGATAGGGCAAAGGGCCAGCCTTGTCGACTGGTGGATGTCTCATCGGTGAAGTTGGACGAATGGCTGATAATGAATGTCTCGGTTGGATACTAGTGCATGTAGATATACTGTCAGCTGCTCAATCGCGAGGTTGCTTCCCGCTCATGAGTTCCAGATAAGAGTGTCGTGCTATCTCTCGTTTTTGCAAAGCATCCTTCGTTCTTGACATCTCTCAACAACACTTATCCCCAACGTTCTTTCAGGCATCGTCACCTCTGCACTTTAGTGCGCTAGCAACTCTAACATGGCTTCCTACGAGAGAAGGGTACGCATGATTCGCTTTATCACCCGTATGGGCCAACCAATGTCGTGGGGCTTGATGCTAGGCTACTACAACATCAGATGTTCTCCGGAAGATGCAATTCTGACCAGCTATAGCCGAAACAACCAGGAGAGACCCAACCTATCGATGGAGGGTATAGGGTTCGCCCACACTCAATCGTGCTTTCACGACACGAAACTGAAGATCGATAGCCAAAGGCAATACGTACTGATCCGGCGCCTGGGGACGGAGGTTACAAGGTCTGCAAAGGCTAGTCGAAGCCTCAATGCATAGTACTAAATGGTAACAGCCAAGAGTAGACGGTGATGGTCAACCGGGAGATGGAGGAACGCCCAGCGTACGCCCACCTTACTCGAATACCGTTACAACTTCGCTAAACTACACAGGGCTAAGGTTTTAGATAACCAATGTGACGGAAGGAAGTGACAGCAATACACACAAGAGAGGGCGGAGATCACGTCATTAGATGGTAGACGTGAGCATCGTCTAAACATTCATTACATATAAACATTACATAGCCACACCAATTCATCTCCACTCAAGCCAAAAAAGCTCAAAGCATACTCCTCCTCTTCGCCAACTTCTGATACTGCCTCGACGTCCTCGTCTGCCCATCCTCCATTTCATAATCCGACGCTATACTACCCGGCCTAACAGTCACAGGTGGTCTGAGACTCTCCACTCCACTAGCAGGCCGTAGTTTTGTCGGTGCAGAACGTTCTCTCATACTGAATCTGCGTTTGACCGTTTCGGCTATCTGGGCGAAGAAGCCGTTAACACCTTTGACTTCTCTCGGTGAAGCTTCGTGTATCGGTCCGTGGGTATGGGCATGCATGTGTACGTGCGGCTGGCCGTGGCCGTGGCTACCGAGGAGATGCGATTTCTCTCCAGGCTCCATGTATAAGTGGTTGCCCTCGTGGTTTACGAACCAGTTTACCATGTATTGTTTGCCTTCTGGGCCGCCGCCACAAGATCCGGCGAGGACGTGCGACGGGGGCGAGTTGACGGCGAGGGCGAAGAGGTTTGGCGGTTCGCAAAAGTCCGTTACCAGGCCGCGGTGGAAGATGAAGTAGATGAGGACGAAGACGTTCATGGCGAAGACGAGAGCAAGTATGAGTACCCATGCTTTGGAAGCGCCGGGCATGCCCCCGGATGCATATTGTTGGGCTTTGAGCGAGGCGTTGAAGTATTGCGTTTGGTACTCGTCGAGCATAGGGTGGGAATAGTTCTGTGGTTTGGGTCAGCGAGTTCGCTTGTCGAGTGTAGGAAGCGGCGAGACGCCAATAGCAGGAGACAAAGAGATGCATACCCAGAATGTCACAAAAGGCGTATCCACCATACTCAACAGCAGAGTACACCCCGCCAAAACAGCAAGAGCCTCCCCTAAGCTGGGTATGGCATTGCTTAGGTCGACCTGAAGGTTTTCTGGATCCGGGTTGGTAGGCTTCAACACCAGCTGTGTCAATAGTCTGGATGTACTCGCATTTGCATCCATGAGGCCAGTGCCGAGTGACAGACTGTTGGACCAGTCAGTACCTATGTCGCGCCAATTAGCCACGCCCTTTGTATTGACGCTGACTTCGTCTCCTGTCTCGACGAAGGCCTTTTTGTCGTTGGGATCTTCGCAAAGTGCTTCCATAGTGGCGCCCGAGCCGGTAACGTTATGTCGTGTACTGCATCCCGGTCTAACTGTAAGATGTAATTTGCATAGCGAGAAGATGCCCGTTCCATCCATGCCAACATCATCTGGTCCTCCTTGTCCTAGCAGATAAATTGCGGATCGTCCCCAGGCAAAGCTAGTGTGGTTCATGATTGTGTTGAAAGGCAAGGGGTATTTGCCGAAGACAGGCGGCCAATTCTTCGTGGTTGTTGTGTCGTTAACATCCCAGCCGAAGATCTCATCCACCACAGTCTTGTTGGTTGTGGTCGCGTTGTCCCTGATACCGGGAACGTTTCCCCAAGAAAGAAGATCGACCTCATCATCATTAGGCCAGGCGGCGTATACGATGGGTCCTAGCTCTGTCTTGTTCATGTTTACGCATAATACGTTCAACACTGGTGATGGCACCGAAGCGCGCAACGAGTACGTTCCTTCGGAGTTTAGCTCCTCAGGCTGCAGGATTCCATTTCTTTGGTCGCGGGCAGCAGCGAAGACGCCCGAGTGGGGCATAGCCATTGTCACGTTGTTGATAACTCTACCGTGCTTCTGGGACGTCTCAGTAGTGTTGACGATGTCGATCCATTGCCCAGTGACCGTAGTGTTTTCGTACAGAAGCCCAAAGCCTTGGGGTCGTAACTTTTGGATTGAAGTGCCGTTGCCGTTCCTGGCTGACAGATCCCAATCTGAGAGGTAGCGCTGGAAATTGTGGTATCCTTGGCCAGCGTGTTCCATTTGTAAGCATGTTTCTCCTTGGGCATTCTTGTCGGTTCGAATCGGTGTCTGGCACATTTCCTTGAGATAATTGATGTTTGCGAAGTCGCTCTTGACACGACCAGCCAGGACCAGGCCGTTATCCCAATTACCATCTCTTAGCATAGGCTGAACAGTAGCGGCAGCTGCAGATGAGTAAAGCGTCGCCAGAACAGCGCTCAGCAAACTCAGTATGCCCAGAAAAGACAGTCCAGCATACTTTGCAGTCTCCCAGTGGGTGATCAAAGTGCCTATCACAAAAAGGTCAGAACACGCCTCACAAACGATCCACACAAGACATCTGCTTACCTGGTTGAACAACCCACCTCCACATACTAAGTTCCGACAGCGTGACCCCCCTCCCATGATCCTTCATAAACGCCCTCCGACTAAGTACCTGCCCAAGGAAAGCCACAAAAGCCGTCACAAAAGACAGCTCAATAAGCTTCGCCATGACCGTCGTAAGCAAAATAGCATCAGCTGGTGTAATAGGCCCATGGCTAGTAATGCGCCGCCCATAATGAGGGGCACGGATAGCCAGGGCCAAGAAGATGCCTGAGAACAAGCACGAGAACAAGGATATGACGATCAAAGACAGATTGAGCCAGGTAAAGCGTGGGTGGTAAAAGTCTCTTGTAGTCGCGCATTCATGAGTTGGGCGAAAGTCATTTTCGTATGCCGACTTGATCGAGGGAGCGGCACCGCCGCCTCGGAGTCCATCGGTATCAGCAGAATGGATGTATGTTTCGTATTCATTTATACTGCTGTTGCTTTGCTTTGCGTTCTTCAGTATGCCATGCCGAAACTCTTCGTATGTGCCGACGTCAGGACTCGCTCTGCCAACGTCGGGGCTGAACCTGTCTCGTCGCAGATCGGGTGTGGACTCATTTGAGCTCTTGGGGAAGCCTCCAAAGTATGGGTCGGCTGAGCCTAGAGGCGAGAATGCGCCGGGGCTCTTTGTGGGCGGGCTCTTGGGGCCAGGACCGACGGCTCGTCGCGGGATGGGTTGTATGCTAACGCGCCTGGCGGTCTGCGTTGTCGCGACAGGGGATGTTGCTATGCCCAGTCCACTGTCCTTGCCGCGCTGGAAGCCGTCTGCGATATCTTCCTCCTCGTCCTCCTCCTGTACGATGCTTGGTGTGTTGCGACCGACGGCGGTGGTATCGCTCTGGAGCCGGGCGTAGTGCGGTCGCGCAGGCGGCGGGGTAGTAAGCCCGAGAGTGTGGGAGTTGCTGGAGAAGCCGAGCGAAGGCAGGGCGGGCGTGTTGTCTGAGCTCTCAGAGAGGTCCGAGGACTCCTGCATGAGTGGCCGGCGGTCGACCATGATGCCTAGCGTATAGCGCCCCTCTTGTTGTTGCCTGCGTTTCAGCCTTCTCTTCTTATGGTGTTCTTGCGGTCGGTATTGGCGGGAGGCTGCGCGAGGCCGCGGTTGTATGACCTGGGGCTGCAGGTGAGCGGCTCAGCTTGGATGCGACGGGACGACTTCACGACAGGGGAGAGAGGAAATAGACTGTCGCAAAGAGAAGAGACGACATCGCAAGGTTAGCCGGCGAAAAGCCTGAGGAATAAGGCCTCAAGGGATGACCCGACTGTCCGCTGCGGTTGCACGCACGTTCAGCTGTCGCTGGGCGGCTGCACGCTGTTCGCTTGTGGCGCTTGATTATGGCCCCCAAACTACATCCAGACCACTCTGCTGTGCCTCGTAGTGGTCCATAGTCTCCATAGTGCCTCTTCTAACCGGTAGCGAATGCGCAGCTGTCAGTCACTGCTGCTTGCGCTTTGTGAGCATGTCTCGCCGTTCGGCAAGCTTGACGAAGCTTGTCTCCTTCTGCAGTTTGCAATATGCCCTGCGCAGCAATGCAAACAATCATTACCAAGCTGTAGGCAGTCGACATCAGGGTGTCTCAATGGGTCTGGTGATGCGTGACAACTCTTGGGAGGAATCAATCGGGTTTGGTGATGTGGTACACGGTGGAGTGTTGGGGTTCAGCCACAAACTGAGGCTCCACGCGTCGCGTTGTGAGCTAAGGAAAGCACCAACACTGGACGGGCTTCACGCCTGCATTCTACCCGATAGCCTTGACATGCTCATCAACCAAACACTTCCAGTCCGCACCCCCATAATAAACTGTATGCCCATCATCATGCGTCAACTGTCCCGTACTCTGCACCGTGTCCCCCAGCTGCCAAAACAGATCCGCCGCCATCCCACTATCTCTCAGCGACAGACTGGTCTTCTGCCAACCCCCCTCCACAGGACAGTGGTCCTCCTTCTTGGGTACGCCATATTCCTCAAACAGACACGGTTTGTTGAGCTTTTGACAGATCTGAGCATGCGCTTCAATCCAGCCGTCACCAAACGAGTTGCTTACGCCCCAGCTATCCGGATACAGGTGGAAGGTGCCGAAACTTATGTTGCCCAATTTCAGATTTGCTTCCCAGTCTATGCCTTCAGTGTACTGGTAGGGGTAGGAGCCGTCGCCTGAAAGACCGAAGCCCTCATCGCCCACGGTGATCATGTGGTCCGAGTCGAGAGAGCGGATGTAGTCACTCGTTTGGCGGATCCAGTTCGTAAGCACCGATGTCTGGCAGAGACTGCAGCGCGGTTCATTGGCCAGTTCCCACGCGAACACAGCGTTGGAGTCGCGATAACGCGAAATGACAGCTTTGATGTACGCCTGGTACATGGTCTGGCATTTGGTCGCTGTGTACCACTGCGCATTGCTAATTACGCCGCACGCGGAAAAGTAGGCGGCCATGCCCCCGTAATCGGTCCAGTTGTTCACAAAGTTGATGATGAGCTTTATTCCGTGTTTTTCTGCAGCATTGACTACGGCGTCGAGGCGCTGGAGACCATTTGTGCCTGTGTTGATCGTGGCGGTAGATCCAGAGAAGGACTGGAAGTATACTGTGCCGGAATCTGGAACGGTTTTGACGTCGTTGAAACCCCATATCCGGAGTATTTTCTGGCCCGAGGTGGCTAGGTGGCCCATGATTACGTCGACATCATTATCGTTTGTCAAGAAAGGGATCCAGTAGGAGTTGGTTCCAGCGTAATCTAATGACAATATGAGTGGTGCGAAGATGGCTCGCGGTCTATCGACTTACACTTAGTTACACCATCAATGTTGAACTTGAGACCATCGACTTTTGAGATGGAGGCTCGTGGGGACAGATCGATTGCTGAGGGCAACGCTGTCGCAGCCGCGCCAAGGGCAAGTATCGGGAGTGTCTTCATGATGCTGAAACGGGACTTCGGTTTCGGCGAGTGTGCAGCCATTGCTATGTAGGGCTCGCTGCCACAGAACTTATAGGAATCCGTCGCGACTACGCTCAATACTTACTCGAAGCGGGGCGGCACAGGGCTCTCCGCTTTGAATTGGGTCACACGGCAATCGTGCCTTGAAGTGACTCTAGTTGTGGGGTATTATAGTAGCCAAGGTCCTAGCATGGTCGTAATTGGTGCACTAGAGACGAAGGGGCTTCCTTTCAATTACCATGTTTGGCAAGAATGCATCGGACCGCCAGCTCCCGCATTACATCGAGTAGATTTTTATATCTCTGGAAATATGTGAGAGGAAAATAATCAGTAATCGCGACAGTTGCGTAAAGCATATAGCAACCACGGAGGCGAAGTTGCAGAATTTCCCCGCGGCTAACAAACCATGCAATGTATTCGGCACAGACTTTCCGACAAACCAGCATCAACGAAACAAGGATCGTACCCGGAAGCGGAAGAGGCGATGAAACGAAACAACTGATAACGAACCAAGAAAGACTCGATAGTAGGAGAAGTTGTCCAGACTTTTATTAGGTAATGGAAGAAACATTGCCGAGTCGGCTGGAGTAAATTGCAGCATCGGTTTGCACCAAGCTCTTTCGCAGGCTCCGTAGGCGTCTTGATAGTGTTATCTATCTTGACGTTCGTAACCGCACAGTCTTGGCTTTGAGTGGAGCTTTGGTGGAGATGCACAAACGTCCGTTGCGCGCTGAGGGGTGACAAGAACAAGCAATGCGCAGAAATGCAAATCCGGGATGAGCAAAGGTCTCTGGATGAGAAGGTGGCAGTACGATGAGGCGAATGCGAATGCGAAAGATGACTAGCAATCAACAGAGCCGATCAAACGATAATGCTAACAAGGAGCACCAGGTCCAATGCGGTCTCCAGACGATAATGAACTTGATTAAACGGCAGTCGCCCGCTGATAAAAGCAAGCAACCCCAGCGTTCGGATAATATCAGAGAGAACGGGAGAAGTCGTTAAGAAGAAGAAAGCCTTTATCCCGACTTTGCCCTGCCGCTCGCTTTACCTGGGTCATGTCGAGCATAGGGCTGCAGCGACGCACGTGCGCGTACAAAGTCTGCCTGCATGTCCTGGAGCTGAGATGTGTCAGTGCTGGTCCTTCCATTTCATATCCCATGAAGTGATATGGGCCAAACCATGTCAATGTAATACCAATGGTTGGTGCCGAACCCATGTACTACTGAACTGCTACGGCACTTCGTGTCGAGGGACCAAGGCAAGGATAGCGATGGCGAAGTTTGGTCCTTCTATCTCCACGCTAACAGTCGCGAGAACGGTGCTCGGATCAGATCCACCCTGTTATTTCATCCTTTTTCTTGCTTTCTGGAAACCAACATGCATGGCGTAACCTGAGGAGATTTGCTGACGGCATGTCGTTCGTAACGAAGGCGCCCAACTGTGCACCAAGTGGTCTGGATTGCAGGCCTTAGTCGAGCATTTTAATCCGGGCGGTGATGGCATGGCAGACGCAACCGTGTGGTACGGACGCCTAGTGTGGGGGTAGTTGGAGCTATACAACATGGTGGACGTCAACGACGCCGCCAACTGTCAGCAAGTCAGATCGCGATAGTGAGCAACCACCGGTGAGTAACCTGACGTGGGCGGTGAAAGATGGCGAGTCATCCAATAGTGGGACAACCATTCGGAGTCGGGGTTCTTTTCGGTAGGCGCCTTTCCAACTTGGAATATGCATACAGACAGTCGCATGCTCGATGATGCAGTCGACCTTGATCTGGCAGCGGTCGCGCATTGTTTTGCATGCCGTGCAACCCGCATCTTGCTTATGGGCTGCAGAGCTGACCTTGTGTAGCGGTACACAGAACTAAGATCTGAGCTAGTGCCGTCGCGTGGCGTAACCGAAGTACAGGCAGCGTTGGGAACGATGACCACGAGTCTGGTGTTGCATGTCTCAGTCCCACGCGAGGCGCGTAAGACGTGGGAACTCGAAGTCGAAAGCGCACGGCGTAACTTGCCGTTCCAGTTAGTGCCCCGCAGTGTCGCCGTTGGAACCAGAAGAGGATATGAGCAGGGACGTCGTACTAGATGAAGCAAGGAGAGGTCTGCCCTGGGGTACGTTTCAGGCCCAAATTTGAGGATCTGGCTTTTGAAAATTGAGACAAGAGGGCAAAGCAAAGCGTTGTGGTATAGCATCCCACACATCAGCTCTCTAGGATAGCCCTGGAACGTGCTGCACATTGAGGCTCGGGCCGGTTAGGGCCGGAAATGTGACCTGGACTATCGAGTCTGACCCCGGGTCCGCGTACACGGTTGATCGACCATAGCGGCCGAACGCGTACAGTATCGAATTTTCCGCGCTCGGCTGCGGCAGAGGCCTCTTAATTGCAAGGATCCCGCACCTCCTGAATAATCTTCGTGTTGGTCAGGCGAAACCATGCGTGACCGGTCGCCTGGTGCTGGGATACTGAATGACCTATATTGTATTTGTACGACACATATTCGTTAAGAACGGCTGCGATTGGAAAAGCAATCGCATCGTTCCTAGAATTACTGAACGTGGTGTTGCCGAAGACTACCGAATGTCCGTGCTGGAACGTTCAGATGGGCGTACGGCATGAAATTTGACAGCAAGAGCTGATCGTCCTTCGTCGGTGGCCCACCACCAGGGCGATATGACACGAGAACCAACGTCTGCCAGGAGGTTCGTGGAAAAACAATAGACATGAGAAATTGCCGTTCTTACTCGAGGTGCTTTCTGCCAATGACATCCTTTGGAGAATGACGCACAAGCATTTCAGCCACCGCCGATTCCGACTTTCTAAGGCCCGAGCCCTGCGAGCACCGTCACAGTTCCTCACCTCAGCCTCCCTCAAAACAAAATCCTGCCAAGACTAGGCGGAAGCGGGGGGTAGACCGCGGTGCCCTAAAATCTCCCGCTCCTCTTGCTTCCTGTGATTCCAGAAACTAGCAGGCTTTCTTTGAGCGTCGTTCGTTGTCCCCAGGTCGTCCAGTCGCCATGAGTATTCGGATAAATGCGACGGTCCAAGAGGCCCGAACAGCTGCAAACCACAGCCAGGAACAATGGGACCGATTCTACGTAGGTATACTCTTGTCGCAAGGGTATGCTTGGCTAACGGGACTAGTTCATAACCAAAGACGAGGCCAGGCAGCTTGCAGAGGCGCACCCTGACTGGAAAAGATGGATCCTCATCCCCGCGAACGAGAAAGAACAAATGCTGGAGAGGATCAACGCCCGCCTGAGTGCTGAAGGTATCCCACCTGTCGAGATGATCATCCTGAAGTGGCGGGTGTCGCAGTTACTCCGAGACATCCAGCGGAAATATGGTATGTGCATTTGTGCCCAACTCTGGTGACTCGAGGTAGCGGTCGGCTACGGTGACGCCCTATACAAGTACATTAGCTGATTCAAACGACTTTGCAGAAGCCGGCAGCATGCTGCAAGGGATGCCAGGCACGAGCTCAGGGTCAGGATCGGGGTCACCAATACAAGTCCAGACAGCCCAATCGCCTCCAGACAGCAGTGTTCAGTCATCGAGCCCACAACGAACGGAGTATTCACCAAGCGAAACTCGCCCATACGATCCAATACGGGATGTGTAAATCCCAAGCCCCCGGGAGGAGATTTGTCTTTCACAGCGCGCGTTCAAAGTCGAGAACAGGAACACCCGACGAATATTTGGTATTCGAGCCTGATATCCCAGACCACAAAGCGCGGCGTGCATAGCGAGGAAAGAGCAACTAGCGAAACCACCTCACGAGGAGACGGAGCGCCATAGGATCCAGCAAGCTATCTTTGTGCGATCGTTGTGGAGGCTTCGAGGAGACGCATCGGCAAGAGATATCGCGTCGAGCGAAGCGGACTATACAACCGCAGCGTTCCATGCGGCTACACCGAGCGGGCTCGACTCGGGGTTGTGTATAGTGCTCTGGTACGTAGCCTCGGCAGTGCCGAGGGTGTTGTGCGCTGCCCAATCCGGTATCTGCCTACTGCCAATGTCTCTTGCTTGCTTTTCCATGTACCTGCAGCTTTCCACACGTCTCAATTCCCCGACGCTGGCTACTCATTGTTGATTGGCACGCAGCGTGCATCTGGCCTTGGCGTCGTGGCTTTTCCGTCCCCGTGCATTGTGCATACAGCCCAATCTCGAAAGAGTCGGAAACAACGACGGTTCTAGACCGCGCATGGCATTTTCTCTGGTTTCTTTTGGCGTTTCCTTTTCGACGCTGCCCTTTCGCATGTCTCAATCTAGGAACAATGCATTCTAGTATTGGACGCTATCAAATTTCGTCTCCTGTTGTTCCAACGAGGTATACTCATTCGCTGCTAACAATGGAAGAAAGAAACTCTTGTGTATGTCGTGTGGGCCAGCGTCGCAGGGTAAGGGTCGCTAAGCGTCGAGTCGTGGAGCGAGTGGGCGAAGCGGTCTTGTATGACGCAGCTGAGGGCAGCTCATCGGTGTGTCCTTCCGAGGTCGGCTAGGCTGATCGATCTTTAGATGCTCCTACTGTCTCATGAGCTGCTCTCCCCGCTCGTCAAAGGGATGTGGCTCATCTGCGTAACAACTCTGGTCATCGCTGGAAGCGTAAGTAATGGATAATCGTGGCCTGCAGAGTTGGTCGGGCATCTCTGGACTTCCAGGCTTGTAAGCCCAAGGAGGTTACCGGCGTAAAGGTTCAATGCTTGCTTGCTGGCCGAGCAGCGTGTGCGGGAGCGTTGTGACATCAGAGGGGAGCCGCACGTCTGTGTGACAACTACGCCATCGTGTTGGAGGTTCCTAAAGGATGTGGCATCGTAGATGCTGATACCGAGCCGGATGACAGCTTGATGAAGAGGGTGAAAGGTCGTGAGGGCTGGAGACAGAACACGTCCGACGTGACTGCCTCCAAAGTATGGTACCCTAGCAACTAGTACTTGCCTCATCCATGTCAAAGGGCAGCCACGCCCAGTTCTCATCTTCAAACTCTTGTACACAACGGCCTCCTGTACTCCATCTCCCCGTGCCCGAGATTCGACTGCGACACGCGGAATGCATCCCACTATCACGCGTCTCACACGGAGTGAACTAGGGGGCACAGTCGCCACTACCCGCATCGCTCTACCGTATCTCTCAGCCTCCTGCACCTCAACACCGGTAATGAGAGCTGCAGCGCCTCGCATATCTGTCGAAAATCGGTTTCAGCAAGGTCAAGAGGCTTTGCCAGATCTTTCTCAACCGAGCCGAGTCTTCTGCGGATGACGCTATACGTCGCGCGCCCAAGACAGTACTAACGACGGATCAAGGCTTCACTGCAGCTTTAGTACAGAATATCCATTGTACTAATTAGTTCTGTTCTTGTGCAGGAAGCTCTGTTGTTCGCCCAAGAGTCGTTCACTCTGGTGAGCAGCCAAGACCCACAATGGAAGGAGCACTAGCCGCCGTTTGACAACTGCTTCTTCCCGTAGCCTGGTCCAACACCGGCCCTACTCTCCCGTCAGAGTTCAAGCTGCATCGTGCAGGCTGACGGTCTTGTCGCGAGCTGCCTGCTGGGACCTTCCATGGAAATCTCGTCAGTGCACCGTGGCCGTCGAGACGAGATTGCTGGGTATTGGTGACTATGTGCCTCGCGCCTGAGCATCTCCCCAGCATCAGCAGTAAGTGGAACTCACAAACGCATCGTATGTTGACTCCAGTGTCCATGTTGTGACACAACAGTAGTGCAGCGGAGTGACACGAGAAGTCTTGTCCCTCCGACCTGCGCCTTCATCGTAGCAACGAAGGGGACAGCTCGGTGACCCCTCAGCGCAGCGGACCAACGTCCGTCACCGAATGCAGCTCACTGCATACATGTACCCACCATACCCACCTCGAACGCGCCGTGCCTATATTGACGGCTCCACCCGTACTCCATTACGATCACGCGAATACGCTCGGTAGCGCGGCCTCGACGGCCATATACCCTCTCGGTTGGAATGAGGCAGTGCTATCGAGCCGCCTGGGCTTAGCATATACCGTTAGGCTGGACTGGACAGCTGCCAGGCGCAGCTTGATGTACCACAGTGGAGCCTCATGCATGCTGTATGCTGTGTCTTGCAGGACATGGATTGCTACAGCCACGTCGTAGTACAAGGGACAGGGCCTGTCCAAGGATAGATGCCTTGAGTTGTCTGCTGTCATCATAGCGATACATGAATCGCCATGGCAGTCCCTCTCAGTCCTCATTTAGACGATCGGCGCCGTTAGATCGGGCTATCGCTTGAGCTCCTCCGCTCTGCCATGTCCAAATGAAGCTATGGAGCGGCAAGAATGCATCACGCCACACATACGGGACTGAGAGCCTTGGCTACCAGCTGCGCTAGGGCTTGCTATCATTGCTGCATATATCGAAGACACGCATCGTGCTGATACCGAAGTGACGCACCACAAGACTCCCAAGTACCCATAGTAAGGGGATCGCGACTGGAATGTGATTCCTAGGCACCATGACGCCAGTCAATGTAGTCGCAAAGATACTGTAGTGATCATGGACTCAACTGGGCAGGGTATGTATAGTGTTCTCATAACACAATCTGGTACTAGATAGTATTTGACAGAAGAATGTCTGTGACTCCTGGTATGCTCTACTCCGTGAACGTGTACTGGTCATGACACTGTCGCTTTCATCGATGAGCCTGAACTTGTCACACAGCAACATCACGTTATTTGAAGTCAAGTCATGAAGTCCAAGAAGAGTTTAGACAATCCCTCTTTGTTCGATTTTCGGACTCCAGTCGGCCTATATCGTTTCAAACGTAGCAAGACATCACTCTAGCCGGATCAGTCGACGCTCCAAAACCCCCAAATCGAGACGTTGCCCAATCGCAGGTGGACATAGTGTCCTGGTATCATTGATATCATAACCACGGCCAAGCGTAGCTAGCCAGAGACCATAACGAGTCTCTTTCCGATGCCACCAAAGCTTCCATGTCATAATTCATATTCCCTATTCCCTATTCCCCGTGTTTTTGCCTTTTTGTATTCGTGATGGACCTAATCTGACCAACTACCCTTGCATACCAAAGCCAGGCTCGATACCAGCCTGCTTCAACGCCTTTGCTTTCCGCGAATCCACCTCTTTCTTCTCTGCTTTTTGGGACGCCGCCAGCGCGCGGACTTGGTCTTCTTCGGCGAACATGGCGCCTTTGGGGTGTTCTTCTCGATCGAGGTCGACGGTCGCGCATATGGTGACGTTCTCGCCTCGTACGGTCATGACGCCGGGGAGCTTGACGTCGTGTATTAGCCAGCGGGGCACGGAGAGGTCGGAGGAGGGCGATGCGTCGGGGTTGCGGGCTGCTATTCGCTCGTAGCATTCTGTGAGGACGAGGTTGGCTGGGGAGTGTTAGCTGCGGTATCGATGACGCGGGGCGGGCTGGTGGTGGACGCACCGAATTGGTCGTAGGAGCGTAATATGCCAATGTATTCTTTCTCGTCACGCAGTAGTACGTCGACCTTTTCTGAATTGTGTCAACGTCATGTCCTCTCAGACTCCTGGCTAGGTGTGTCCATACTGTCCACCATGTCTAATAGCATTGCCGATGTCAGGAAGGCTTGCGGTGGGAGGTCGACGGGGAGTACAGGGGGCGGCGCCTGCCCTCGTGCACCACCGAGCATGTTCGCATGTTGTGGTGGTGGAGTGGCACTGTATACGCCTTCGTAACCTGGGGCGGTATTAGCACTGCGCCATTGTGCGCGTCGGCGGGGGTCGTGGCTCACCAGAAGACGGCGAGGGCCCGCGTGGAATCTCGGAGCCCGGGGGTTGCAGCTGTCCAGGTGCCTGCATGGAGCGCTGGAGCATGGCGTTGAAGTCCGGGCCCATGTTTGGGGCACCTCCAGCGGCCGCGGGGCCTCGTGGTGGGCGTTGGTTGTAGGCCATTGTGGGGGGTTGCGCAGTGAGTCGGGCGAGAGTAGTGGTGTTGGTTTAGCGGTTACGAGGGGGCGATGGGTATGGAGCTATCATGGCGAGGCGGCGCATATAATTCCACCTTCACTCGCGTGTTTACGTCGTTGACGCTGCCCGAAATCGCCAACCACTCACGTATGCCAAGCCCCGCTAGTCATGAACTCTGGATGGGAAAGACGTCTTGCATCATCCTAACTTCTATCAATTTGTCGCTACATCTCATTACCTAGCTATACTCGCTCAGCATACGAAGCTTCCCTGTTTAAGCTCGGGGTTGTTGGGAAAAGAATCTCGTGCAGAGATACCCATTCGTTCACTGAAGTAGAGGAGCTCTCCTGCGCAGCCCTCAGCATCCAGATCACCGCCATCTTGAGGAAAAATCGATTTCTCGTAAATCCCAGTGGACACTCGAGTTTGACATATTAGAGTGTACACAGTTCTCGGCTTGTCACCCAGTACGTGTCGTGCGGTCTGAGAGACTGGACAACACGGGTGGACGAATCGGAGCTGAGCTACGCCGCAAGAGAGCTCCATTTAGGGCGAGCCTTCGTCCTGCATTTGCGCTCTGTTTCCCAATCATATCGTAATTTTTTTCAATCGCATTCAGCTCTCAAAATCTTCTCTGCAACAGTGTTCTACACTTCAACTCATCGGTAGATTGTTCACCTTCTATTCGTCCACGATGGCTGGCATATTCAGAGTCTTCAAAAGTAAATGGATCACACCACCAAAAGAGGTTCATGAAGATTATACCGGCAGGAACATCATTGTGACTGGTGCGACTTCGGGTATCGGCGTAGAGGCAGTCTTCAAGTTTGCGAAATTGGGTGCCGCCAAAGTCATCATCGCCGCGCGCGATGTGAAGAAAGGCGAATCCACGAAATCGGCTCTGGAGGCGAGGCTCGGACGCAACGATCAGCTGGAGGTTTGGGAACTCGATATGATGTCGTATGACAGTATAGAAGCTTTCGCCAACCGCGCAAACGCGCTTGACCATCTCGACTTAGCTGTGTTGAACGCTGGTGCTTGGCGAGTCAAGTTCATACAGTCAAGATATGGATGGGAAGAGGATATACAGGTCAACACACTGTCTACAACCCTCTTGGCCGTGTTGCTTCTACCAAAACTGAAGGAATCTCAACAGCACACTGGCAGAATTCCGGTCCTCGAGTTTGTCAATTCTGGTCTACACCAACGCGCTGTTGTCCCACCAGAAGTCCGGCAAAAGCCCAGCGTACTCGAGCACTACAACAAAGAAGAAAACCACAAGGAGGGTAGCCAGTACAAGTTCTCCAAGGTCTTCCTTATGTACGCTACGAACAAGCTTGCAGAAGAGATATCTTCAGGCGATGTGATCATTACCAGCATCTGCCCTGGTTGGGTCAATACCGACTTGGGACGCGACCGCTTCTTTCCTGGCGTGCACATATTGGCATTCTTCTTCATCTTCTTGTTCATGAGATCTGCGGCTTCTGCTGCGAACATGGTGTTGAGTGGGACCACCCAGGGGGAGAGTGTACATGGCAGGTTTTGGAAAGAGGACAGCATTCAGCCAACTCCACCTAGCCTGGCAGGACCCGAGATGAAGGAGCTAAGTGCAAGGATGTGGGATGAGATTATCGATGCACTGGAGAAGGATGTGCCACATATCAGCAAGACTGTTGATGCGGCATTGTCGAAGCGCTGAAGGTTGGCGGATTTAGGACCTGGAATTAGAGAGGACAAGACTACCAAGAAACTTGATGTGTAGCTATATGGTGAATTGCAAAAGATGGTGCCGTGTTGCCAGACGCAGCTGACATGTGGCTGAGACTAGAGGCGCAGGCACCTCCACACATGACGTACCGGCAGCCGAATTGGAGCATCATAGTGCCTAGAACATGCATCTGGTGCCTCGAAGCCTGCGCAATCCCTCGTCCAGCAAAGTCAGACAGCTGCAGCCCGCTGAGTCGGCTGAATGCCCAAATCGCCCTTCCGCCGCAAGCCCGCCGCCCACGGTCCCTCGTCCCTCCTGCGCTTCCTCTTCCCCCGGACTCGAGCACGCGCGCGCCTTCACCTCTCCAAGTTCCGCCACGACACGCTCCACTCGCTCAAGAACAGCGCCAAGTCCCGCATCTACAGATACATCGTCTACCGCCAGGCTGCCAAGGCGCAGGGGAAGCAGGGTATCGTCCAGCGCCTGCGAGGCTACACGCGGAGGTTGAGCGGCCGCAGCTATCTCGAAGATGCTGCGAGGCTGCGACGGCAGCAGATAGCCACGCGTCCGGGAACCACACCTTCCGGCAACAAAGCAATGACGTACCAAGAGAGCTACGAGGCGCGAGAGCCTGGGACGCGGAGACGGAAGCTGGCGGGCTATCTCAAGGCCGCGAACGAACTCCGGCAGACATACACCCAGCAGTATGCCTCCAACTGGAGTAGCAAGGAGGCTCAATATGACTATGAGGACGACACACCAGGCGGATTTCCAGATGCCGCCGTCGTCAGGAGCGGGCGGGAGGAGATGATCCTCTTTCCCAGCTATGCCCGGCGACACATAAAGCGGAAGCCAGAAGCACAGCCAGGCACCATCCAAGAGACGGAAGGCCAAGGGCGCGACGTTCGAGACTCGACCGGCGCCGGCGATGCCGAATTCTGGAAACAGCAGTGGAACAACTACGAGGACGACAACGCGGTCGTTGACGTCGATGTCCGCGGCTGGATCTACTCGCCACACAGGGGGCAGATGTCACGCAAGCAGAGGCTGTTCATTGGCCTCGCGCGGCAGTTAGTCGGCGTACAGGCACCTGCTACACCCAACTCATCTGCGGAGAGTAGTCGGGATACGAGTCCGCAACGGCACGGCTTCCGCGAACGAGCCCACCTGCGCGATGCCCAGCAGGACGAAGCCATGGCGGCCAGAGAGGCCGAAGAAATTCTACGGAGGGGCGAGAGAGAGGCAAGAGCTGCAGCACGCGGTGCTTACAGCGAGAGGCCAGCCAAGGACATGGACGACACGCAGCTATACCGAACAGAAAGTGGGAACAGCACGAGGCCCAACAACGGCAGGACCCACCAGCTCGCTCACAGCACATCCAAAGATTCCATGAGAAGCGAAGCCAGTATCCAACCGTTGCAGAAGAGAGGGTCATGGAACCAGCCGTCGGAGATGAGCCCATCAGAACTCGCTGAAGCCAACGCTCGGTTGATGGCTCGGCTGCGACACTTCCTAGCGATACCCATGGCCAATACGCCCATCAGTGTCTTCTTCTACAATGAGAACATATCGAAACAGAGGACCGTATACACCGACGCCGCAGGCCATTTCAGTATGAGCGCGGCTTTAGACTTCGTACCCACCCACGTTCGCATCTTAGCATCAGACAAGCTATCGGCAACCGAGGAAGTGATTGTCACTGCCTCGCAGGGTATCAGCATAATCAGCGACATTGACGACACAATAAAGCACTCCGCTATTGGCAGCGGCGCTCGCGAAATCTTTCGCAACGTCTTCATCCGCGACCTAGTCGATCTCACCATCGATGGTGTCAGAGAGTGGTACAACAGAATGGCGGAGCTGGGAGTCAAGTTCCACTATGTCTCCAACTCGCCCTGGCAGCTATATCCTGTCATCTCCAAATACTTCGAGTTAGCTGGACTACCACCAGGCTCATTCCACCTGAAGCAATACAGCGGTATGCTCCAAGGCATATTCGAGCCCGTGGCAGAGAGAAAGAAGGTCACTCTGGATAAGATCGCAAGAGACTTCCCAGAACGAAACTTCATCCTAATCGGAGATAGTGGCGAGGCGGATCTGGAGGTTTATACCGATTTCGTGCTTGAAAATCCTGGGCGAGTTGTCGCCGTTTTCATCCGCGACGTCACCACGACAGATAGCCCGGGCTTCTTTGATCCTTCCACCGGGTCCTCACCAGGCGACCACTCTTCATCAACACCATCGACACAACGCAACAGTGGTGGTAGCTCGGCAGCTTCGACTAAGGCTCGACCGCCATCTGAAGAGCACGACCCTGAACTGAAAGCTGCCATTGCAGCCTCATTACGTGACATGGATGCGGAGAACAACATGCGTCCAAGTTTGCCTGATAGGAAGTCCTCTCCGCACACCACATCACAACAAGCTTCCTCGAACAATCTGATAGACCTATCCTCCGACGATGAGGTAAATGATTCACCCGCGCTGAGGAAGTTCAATAGTGAAACTCAAGCCGACAACGAAAGACATCGCTCATCAGTCGCCTCGAATGCGAGTATGAAGTCTGCGCCGCCGCCTCCTAAGAAGCCAGTCGCTTTAAGGAGCCCGTCGACGGAATCATTCAATGCGCAATCCACTTCCAACCCGCGACCGCAACCACCTAAGCCCCGAAAAACCTCAGCGGCTGTCACTCAATCCAGTCCGCTTGCACAGCAAGTCAGTGCTTCAAGAAGCGCAAACACATCAGCACTCTCCAAACCTCCAGTGGGACCTAAGCCATCTATGAGCTACCAGAGCCAGGCGTCAGAGGACCAGCAGTCATACGCTGGTATGGCTCGCGACAAGTTGTGGTCTGTCTACAGTAATCTACCCGCACTGCGTTCAACAGAGGAGCCCGGTTCCAATGCTTCCAGTCTAGATGTAACTGGTGTTCGCAAAGGCCCACCTCCGCCTCCGCCTCGACGCGGAAACCGCGATACAGCTGCAAGCGCAGCGTCTTACGTGGGCTCCAAAGCATCGTCAGCGTGGCAGAACGCACCCTCTATACCCTACCATAGTCGCCCTCAGGCCATCTCTGCGCAAACATCTCAGCCATTCTCTACTGCAGCGCCGCGACAGGGCATCAACCGCACCAGCACCGGTAGTACCCTAGGTGGTGCTGCAGGCGAGCAGTACGGCACAAAGAAGGAGCAGTTGTGGCGGCAGAGATGGGCACATGCAGAGCAGGTTCTCTCTGAGCAGGGCGTAATACTGCGAGGATGGAGGGTAGGCAGCGACATCATGGGCGAGGCGGAAAGAATAGTCAAAGAGGCCGATAAGAAGTTCAAGCGCGACGAGCAGCGAGGCGAGGCGGGAAACGGGAGTACCGGCAAAGCGAGCGAACAGAAATGAACGCAGCGTTGCCTGTGGATAATTGGTCGTCGCGTTATTAGCGGGTTGCCTGTTGTCACTACACACATGAACATAACGAGCCGTATTGCTATCCTGTTATCTCAATCAATGCATCTCTCCATCCGCTGCGGACATGCCCCACCAAAAGAGGCCTCTCGAGATACCTCGAGTGGGAACCAAGTTGTGTTTTGACTGGTAGCGAGGGCAGCTGTACCATAAGTGTAACTCCCGTGATGCCACGGCCGCCCAATTCTGGGTCGTCGAAATCTCGCGCGGACGCTCCACCTGCACACATTCCTCAAACGCATCTCCCCCGTATCAAGCGTTACGCCACACGAGATTTAAACTTCCCCAAGTCCATTTCCCTGCCAAGCAAATCGATAGTGTGCATATATCGCCCCTGGAAACCGGAAGCGTCGAACCCTCGCGCCTGGAGCCACGACTAAAGAGGGGGTGTGGTACCACGGCATCTACGCACGTGCATGATTGTTGTTGTTGTGAGATGGCTGGACTACTGCCCATGTTCAGGAGTCGTGATGTCATGCCCTTGCTAACTTGCGTATCAAAACAAAAAGACGCTAGATCCTGCCGCTTGTGCCAGCCTGCCAGGTACATAGTTGGCGACACGCGACTGCGACGCGCTTTTGGATTGTTACCCTGCCTGCCCTCTTTTTACATCGGCTGTTTTACTACTACCACGCACGTTCGCCTGACATCGTAATTCTCGGTGATAGATATTGAAAATGTATGTAGATTTGGTGTTGTTCTCATGTTGCGATTGCGATTGCGACCACGGTCGCGATGGTGATGATGCGCCGCGTTGTTGTTCGCGCCCAGTACGCGCATTGTCACACGCTGGCGCTGTCGCTGTCGGCTTGAAGTTAGGGTATCTTTGAATGAAATGCTGACTATGATGTTCTTCTGCGTAGGCCATCCAGCAAAGGAAAGCCAACGGATCCTAAATTGAGGGAGAAGGTCAAGGAGGACGTGAAGAACGAGACTAACAAGGACGGTGGTGGCAAGGGACAATGGAGTGCTTGGAAGGTGAGTTTGCGTGGCTTCCTTTCTCAATGTCCTCAATGGATGCGATAGTGCGCATTGCTTCGTGCATAGACTGACGCGATATGTAGGCTAGCAAGCTCTCGAAAGAGTACGAAAAGAAGGGCGGCGGCTACGAGAACGAGGCTGGCAGCAAGAACGAACCGAAGAAGGGTGCTCCACAGCAAAAGTCCAAGGGCAAGAAGAAGGCCGAAGAGAAGGAGGAAGAGACAGAGAAAGCGGAAGACGAAGAGCCTGCGGAAGAAGACGACAAGGAGAACGAGAAGAAGGATGCCGAGGAGGAGAAGGAGAACAACGACGCTGAGGAAGAGGACGCAGAAGAGGACGCCCCTCCAAGCGCACAGAAGCCCAAGGCCAACACTGGTGCGAAGAAGACTGGCGCCAAAGCTGGTGCTAAGGGTGCGGCAAAGTCTGTTGAGCCAAAAAAGGCAGCCGCTCCCAAGGCGAAAGCCAAGGAAAGGACAGAAGGAACCAGGAAGTCATCGAGGGTTGCGGGCGCTGGAAAGCGGAAGACGTATGACGAGGATGAGAATGACGGTGAGGAGGAAGAGAAGCCAACCAAGGGTAAGGCGAAGAAGAGCAAGTCCTGATGATGAGACGCTCTACGTGCATGCTTCTTTGGGTTACTGGTGCGTATCGTGACCGATTGTGTAGTCACAGGATCAGTCGAGTGTATCCGCAACCAATATGGAAGGGACGATGGGTATAATGACAGTTTAATTATTTCCGACATGTTTACTCAACGCCTTCTCCATGCGATCTCGCGTCTACTCCTACTAAGCTTACTCGCGCCTGCCTGACCGGAAACTGCAGGCCCGACGAGATAATCCGCACCGATGAGTCTAGTGTCGACCTCACCACACATTACGCCCCGGCCCCAGTGCCCAACGTGGCTGCAAATTGCCAAGATCTCACACCGATCATGTTGCTGACTGCGAGGTAGTCGGACTCTCCGAGCATGTCGCGATGTTGACGGAGTCAACTTTACCGCCGGGCAAGCGCACCCCGATCCTGCAGTACAAAGTTGGAGTCAGCGCTTCTCCTGCACGCACTTTCGGTCTGTTGGTCTTACCAAAGCTCGAAGCCAGCAGTATGCATAGTGCCTGGTTGCGCTGTCGTCATGGGCGTGTAACGAACATAGTCTCGTTCCTGGAACCCGGCCTTCGAAACCACCGTGGCACCACAAGGCGTAGCGGATACTCCCTGGACAACATTAGCCGAGATGCTTTCTCTGAGCCAGTCAGACCTACCAACAGCGCGTCGTCGAGATCTGCTAGCTGAGTGCAGTAGCTCACGAGTCTTCCTGCATGGCCTCGTCGCCAATAACAGGGTGCCACTGCTAAAGTACAGAGGCGCATTTTGCCCTCTAGATGCCTATTCTCCGCTGTCAGCAATCTGCGTCTAGATACGTCAGTTATGCATACTGCAGTTTTGCTGCACGCGTGACTGAGTTATAGATCTCCACGGCTTCAGTACTTTGATCTCTTTCGAGGTCAGGGACATCCAGTCGCTCAGCAACGCCAGCAAGCACGTCTTTGGGTTGGAAATGATGGATATATGCTGATTCTGATTTGAGCTGAATACTGCATACTCCTACGATACTTCTCCGTGTCGGAAGGACCGACTTGAAGGACTCTCGCAACGCTTCGTACACGTGTTCAGACTCGTCTTCTTGAATATCATCTTCTGCAACGAGCACCACGCATGCAGGATCTCTTAAGGCTTTCTCGTACTGAACAAAGTAGGAATATATAGTGTCAGATGGAAATGTCTGGTAATTGACGCGCTGAAACTGAAAAGAAGGCGAAGAAAAGAACGCAGCAGCCGCAACAAGCGAGATTCGGTCCAGGTCATCTAAAGTAGCTAGGCGTACGCCTTGTACAGATGGAAAAAGCATGACTTCGCTCGGCTAGTAGCACTGCAAATATGACCTTCGTTCTGGGGAAACATATCGAAGTTCAATATGCAGGTCATTTAAAGCAATACAATCTCGCAACAGAGTACGCCTGCATTCAGGAAAGACATGCTACCAACATCTCTTTGTCTACGATAAGCACGCACTGCCATTACGCATAGTTGTGCATAAAGCGAGTTGAGACATCATACCCGCATTTGTATGTTGCTTGGAATACAGCGCTGGCATTGGACGGGATAAGATCCCGTTGTCGAAAGGTAGGCCGCCTGCCTTATAAGCGAATTTCCTTCATGGAGGACATCGATACGACTTACAAGTGGCGAACTTAGTCGATACTACAGCGAAGAAGACGAAATCAATTGCAGCGACGATAGCGGTAAACAAAGAGACGGCGCAGATGCAGGAGTAAGATGAAGGTTGTGCGTCCGTCTGGTACGCGAGGCAGGTTCGCGGGGAGATGCAGCCCTAACGGAAGCTAAGACATGCATGGCACCGACACAATGAACCAGTGTGGTTCTCGACCTGCCTTTGGTGCCTCCTCGAGCCTTCCTACCATCGAACTCGAAAAGCAACGATCTACCGTACCGGCTTTGCTTTACGGCCCAGGCCGCCATCGTTCCCTGCTACACGGATCTTGCCCATTACTTCTAAGCGAATGAGCGACACGCACCCTCGCGACACGTCCTCTGAAGTTGTACGCAGTCAGCCGCAGCCCTCCATGTCTACCACCAGTTCGCAGTACAGGAATGCCGCCCAAACTCCCTCGCACTACCAGGACTTCCCCACAAGCAACCACGACCCTTTGTATGGCTTGGGCGCATGGCAGCAGCATCATGCTCCCAGCCACGACTCGTACGCTGCCGGCCCGTCAACGGCGCAATTCCTACAGTACCCGGCAGTCGGAGTAGACTCCGCTGGTACGCATCCGCAGTCTGCTCCAACGGCCTGGTCTGGTTACGTCAGACAAGCACCTCTGGAGTGGCAGCACGCTGGACCTGAGCAGAACTACACGACGCGCTCCACCGTCCCCTATTGTGATGCTGAGGGGAGCGCGTCCGTGCCGCACCAAATTCCCACAATCCCGCGCCACTATCAGCACCAACACCAGTACCAGCACCAGCCGGCGCTGGATCTGGGGCACGCATTACCCTTGGCTTCGCAGGATCACGTCTTTCGCAGTACAGAGCGCTTTAACGAGCTGCGCGTTTCGTCAGTAAGTGCACACAAGCAATGTTGTGCCCTGCACTAGGTTCGCGACTAAATCATCCAGGAGTCCCCCGCCAATACGGTAGACCCACCGTACTCGAATCATGCTCAGAAGCTACCTCCAGTCCCACGACTCTCGCATTCACAGCCGCAGACTGTTCTGTTGCACACGAACCACGCGCCTCAAGTACCATTGCAGCATGACGTTGCGTGGGAAGCGCATCAGCAGTACTCTGGTCATGTTGGCGACGCTGTCACCACCCGAGCTCCAGATACGAGGCACCATAGCACATCTACTATCCCTTGGCCCATGAACCCCGTCGAAACTTCCAATGCGCCTACTGTTTACGAGCCTCCTCAGACCATGTCGCGGGAATGGGCCGTCGCTGAAGCACCACCTGATCATGAACTTTACGCACGGCAGCCGGTCCCAGTCGATCAGACAACCACCCATTTGTTAGCTCAGCATAGACCACCGCCAAAGAAGAAAGCAGCCAAGGTTCCTTCGTCTTTCGTCGAGCGCCAGGAGAAGCTGAAGGTGTCCAAGCGGAAGGGCCCTCTCCAGGAAAGGCAGAGGGAGAAGACACACACCATGCGCAAGACCAAGCGTATATGCGTTCGTTGTAGATTCTACAAATCAGGGGTATGCATGTTCAACATGACGCAGTGCAAGACTGACGAATGTAGTGTGACGAAGGAGATCCGTGTGAAAAATGTGAGAAGATCACAGGCCACGCCCGGTCCTTTCGCGAGCCCTGTTACAGGGAGCATCTCGAAGACACTAGTCTTGTACGTCGTTGTAAGTTGTTGCAATATCTGC